AGACCGCTCCGGACCGCTCCGGAGCGGACTGCTCCGCGTCCTGGCCCCGTCCGGAGGAGGAGGAGGAGGAGGAGGAGGAGGAGGAGAAGGAGGAGGAGGATGAGGAGGAGGAGGAGGAGGAGGAGGAGGAGGACCCCTCGCGGGGTCCGAGCGCACCGGCTCTCCGCGCTGCGCCCCGCCGTGGCGGCGAGGGGCCCCCCCGAAGGCCAGCTGCCGCTGCCTCAAGAGAGCGTCTTTCGTTCATTGTCCACGACGGCGACCGTTGCTCCAGGTTTCGTAATAAAATGGAGGGGGTCTCATTTCGGGGGGGGGTCTCTTCCAGGCTATTAAGGGAGGGGGTTCTCATTTGGGGGGCCCCAGCTTGGGAACCCCCAAACCGGGTGGTGAGATACCAGGTGGCGACCTGGAATCCCCAAAAAGGTCACCGCTGGGTTTGGGGACGCGGTGTCACCACCGGGTTTTGTGACTCCTGGACCCACCAGTGTCCGGGACATCCTCGGAAAGCCGCACGAGTCCCCAAACCGGGTGGTGACACCAAATCGCCCGAGACTCACCGCCAGGTGTTGTCACCACCACGTTTGGGGACTACCAACCAGCCGCCACCCCACCCTTCCCCCCCAGGTAGCATCACGATTCATGCTGATGGCCGAGCAGTCTTTGGCTGTTCCCAGACGCTCCACCCGCGCGGAGCGTGACGCTGCCGGCCCTCCTCTCCCCTGCCCCCCGCTGTCGGGGAGGCGTGAGGCTCGGGTTCGGAGGACTCGGGCTGGCCTGACGGGGCCATCGTGAAAATGACGATGGCCCAGGCAGAAGTTTGACGCGAGCTCCCGCTGCAAACATCCCACGAGAAGTGGACCGTCTGAATCCAGGACGCACTCGTCAAGAAGCGTCGACAAGCCGGAGTTCCGGCATACTCGAGTCCTACGTTTCCCCGACTCCGGTAACGCCCGTCGCCAGGGGATAAAATTACACCAGAGAAAAAACCCAATCAGCGGATGGTTTTCGCGACGAGATAGACCAGGAACCCGGAAGCCCGGGAACCCAAACCCACCGAAATCGGCCTGGAACCAATAACCTGGAATCTGGGAACCCGGAACCGGGCATCCGGGAACCCAGCCTGCTACCAAAATCGGCGGGCAACTTTCACCGAATCTTTCAACTTCCACTAGGACCCCTTCAGTGCAAGAATTTCTTGGGGAATGATAAACCGTCTGGCCTGGCGGTCAGCTCCTGAGCACCCAACCCACCACCTCCCCCTTCCACTTTCGCGGCCACGGCGGCGGCGGCGACGCATGGGCGCATTTGAAATAGAGCCCCAAATACCCCTGGGCGGCGACGCCTGGTCGCATCCGAAACAGGCGCCGCAGTATGCGGCTGGCGAACTCCATCCGGCTGCCTATGGCAAGTCCCGCCGCCGTGCCTGCGTTGTGCCCCCCTGCGTCGTCGCCGGGGGATGAAAAACGCTTCCGAACCCGCCCTGCCCTAACGCTCGGCCAGCGCCGCGCCGAGCCGGCGCGGAGCTCGGCGCCTCGCTTGCCCAGGGCTACCCGCCCCCGCGCGGCTGCCGGCGGGACATGGCGGCCGCCCTGCGCGAGGGGCGGCCACCGCGGAGGCGCCGGGCGCTCGAGAGCCGCGCTCGCCGGCGGCGGCGGCGGCAACGACGACGACGACGATGACGACCACGACCACCACGACGACGACGACGACGACCACGACCACCACGACGACGACGACGACGACGACGACGACGACGACCGAGGCATCTGGAGGCCCCACCGCGCGCCGGTCAGGCGCGGCCACCACGTCGCTGGGAAGGGGGAAGCTGAGCACGAGGACGAGCCAGCGGCGACGGGCGCCGCGCGACGGGGGAGGGGATGCGGGTGGTGGTGTTGCAGGTGAGGGGGTGGTGGAATGTCGTCATCGTCGTCGTCGTCATCGTCGTCGCCTTGCTCTTTCTGACTTTGCACGCCTCTCTTTCTGCCGTCGGGGTCCCTGTTCAGAGCTTGGCTCCGGCCCCTGGGTGGTGGCCGCGGATCGAAGACTCTTAGGGACAGTGTGCTCACACGTCCAGGCGTCGTCCTCTTTTCCCTCGCCCCACCTCCTCTCGGCGGCGGCGAGTTCGGGGGGGAAGCCAAAGGGGCGGGCCTTCTCAGAAGGCTCCGAAGCCCCCCAGACCCCAGCCTTCCGAGACGTTTCCTGAGATTTCCCTGGAGGCAAGGAGAACTTCTCAGAAGGCTCAAGGGCTTCCGAGAAGCCCCGCCGCCTTCTGAGAGGGCCTCCTCCTTCTCGCCCATCCGCCCCCCTCGCTCGCCGCCGAGAATGTGGAGGGCCGCGCGGGGTCGGGCTTCGGCAGCGCGCAACGGAAGGGCTCGGCGCGGTACCTTTGCCCGCGGGGCTCCAAGTGCAGGGACACATTGCGGCGAGGTGAGTGCCTCGACCACAGAAGATACAGTAAGGGCTCGACCACAAGAAACCGTCCACAAGAAACCCAACCCTGAGACACCAGGACGTCCATTGACTTTCGGCGTGGGAACGTTACGTTCTTCATAGCAAAACCATCGAAACCCAAGAAACGCAGGGCACCCTTTACCAGCCCGGAACATATCCCTATCCCTATACTGGGCATCGCCCCATCACGATGCCAATCTTAAGGATTCCCTGATTTTCTGAGGGCGCATCCCTAAGACTGTCATCGCCTTTTGGCGTGTCAATCTTTGTTGGGGATAGGGACAAGTTCGAGGCTGGTAAACCCTGGAGGCAAGCAGGGTGCTTCTTGGCCTGGGCTTCCACTGCACACATTGCGGCGACGATCGCCATGCCTCAGGGAGCAGGGGCGACCTGCGGGCCTCCGCCGCGGCGCGGCGGCGCCGCGGGGACGGGAAAAGCCCGGCGCCGGGCGGCCCCTCCACGGAGAGATGCCCGACGCAGTGGCCCGAAGACGAGCGCGCGGGGGGCGCGGGGCTCGGCCCCGCCCGCGGCAGCCCGCCAGCCCGGGGAACAGGCGCAGCCTGTTAGGGGGCCGCATGCGAACCCTACCCCCTATCGGGAGCGGCCAAGAGGGGGGTGTCCAAGAGGGGGGGTGCAGATCATGACCGGCGGCAGGTGCGCGGCCCAGCGGGGGGGCCAGGGACGTATTAAAACAATAAGAGGCGCCATGAGATATGGGGAAATATCAGGCCCCCCGCCATGATATCCACCCCCCTATTCATCACCCCCCTCTTTTCCGCCCCCGACCCCACCCCCCACGATTTCTGAGGGGGGCGTCGGAGGTCGCTTCGCTCGGGAGCTCCCGAGCGAAGCGAACCCCGCCCTCCCCCTCAGAAATCGTGGGGGGCGGGGGTAAGGGTTCGCATGCGGCCCCCTAGCTGTATCGTGGCTGCCTCGCCACGAGCTGCATACGAAACTCACGCGGCCGGCCCACCAGTCAGCAAGCTTTGCAGCCCCACGACGGGACCCGGCAACGGGCCGCGCGAGGGGAGAAAAACCCCGCAGGGGCGGCGGAAGGGCATGACGGCCAACCTGGTCACGACGGCAGCAGGTCGGGTCTACCCCTCAAGGCGGCAACATCAATCGGAGCCCCCCCCTCCAGGGTGACAGGGGGCCGCAACCCGTAGCCGCTCGTCGTCTTCCTCCTCCTCCCGACGACACTGAAGGGGCCCTGGGACATACAACTAAATACACACAACTACCAGGTTTCCCCATTATTTCCTGTAGAAGGAAGCGAACTACACAGCTCAAGTATCCTCTGCACCTGTAATAGATTATGACGCGTTCCCCTGTCGAATTCTCAGGTCTCTAGCTTCAGTACTACTATGAAAACACTTGGCGGGTAAATTCGTTCAAACAAAAGAATACATTGTACGATGTTTGAGCTGATATTCGACGGCTTTCTCGTCGTATTCTGAGCCTCTTCTTGAGTGTGAAAGCTCTACGAGGGCCCCGGCGGTAACCTGGTTGACGGTTTACCGCCGGCTCCCAGTTGGCCCACCCGGCCCGGGCGGACGATGCGACGACCTGGGGTCGGTGTTGTGGAGATTGTGAGAGATTTGAACATTCGTTTTGGGAACCCACATCTTTATTCACTGTGGTCGATCATGGCGCGCTTTATGGTGCAATTCTCAGGCTGTAGGTGCAGTAGCTCGATCAAAGCACTGGGAGGAACCGACGTCGTATAAAACCGCAAAGATGGGAGAGAAAAAAAAAAAAAAAAAAATGTTGCGAGTTTTCAAGCTGACATTCGAGAACGCTCTCTCTCGTTATCTGGGCGCTGATTTGCGTGTTGAGATCTCTACGAGGGTTCCGGCGGTAACCTGGTTGACGGCTTACCGCCGGCTCCCAGTTGGCCCACTCGGCCCGGGCGGACAATGTGTTTTACCTATTTGATATCATTTTCTCGAAATCTGAACATGTGTTCGAACTCAAAAAAATTGTTCCCCCATATTCGGGGTCTTATTTCCGCTCGCCATCATGATATCAGGTCGATCGGGTACATACTACTGTCAAGCAAGCATGTGGGCGGGATCGGCTGTTCAGTGTCATCTTGGCAGGTGCTGTCGGTTGATGACACTTTGTGAACTTAAATCGAGCTGCAGCGCTTCGTGTCTTCACAGGGAGCTCCACCGAAGGCCCCTGTGGCGGTGTTCGCATGCGGCTCCCCCACCCAGGGCAGCGCTTCGTGACCCCATAGGGAGCTCCACCGAAGGCCCCACTGGCGGTGTTCGCATGCGGTTCCCCCAGCCAGGGCAGCGTTTCGTGACCCCATAGGGAGCCCCACCGAAGGCCCCAGTGGCTGCTCTCGCATGCGGTTCCCCCACCCAGGGCAGCGTTTCGTGGCCCTATAGGGAGCTCCACCGAAGGCCCTAATGGCTGCTCTCGCATGCGAGTCCCCCACCCAGGGCAGCGCTTCGTGGCCCCATAGGTAGCTCCACCGAAGGCCCCAGTGGCGCAGTTCGAATGCGGTTCCCGTACCCAGGGTAGCGCTTCGTGGCCCTATAGGGAGCTCCACCGAAGGCCCCAGTGGCTGCTCTCGCATGCGTATCCCCCACTCAGGGCAGCGCTTCCTGGCCCCATAGGGAGCTCCACCGAAGGCCCCACTGGCTGCTCTCGCAGGCGGTCCCCCCACCCAGGGCAGCGCTTCGTGGCCCCATAGGGAGCTCCACCGAAGGCCCCAGTGGCGCAGTTCGCATGCGGTTCCCCCACCCAGGGAAGCGTTTCGTGGCCCTATAGGAAGCTCCACCGAAGGCCCTAATGGCTGCTCTCGCATGCGAGTCCCCCACCCAGGGCAGCGCTTCGTGGCCCCATAGGTAGCTCCACCGAAGGCCCCAGCGGCTGCTCTCGCATGCGGCTCCCCCACCCAGGGCAGCGCTTCGTGGCCCCATAGGGAGTTCCACCGAAGGCCCCTAGTGGCGCAGTTCGCGCGCGGTTCCCCCACCCAGGGCAGCGCTTCGTGGCCCCAAGGGGAGCTCCACCGAAGGCCCCAGTGGAGCAGTTCGCATGCGGTTCCCCCAGCCAGGGCAGCGCTTCGTGCCCTATAGGGAGCTCCACCGAGGGCCCCAGTGGAGCAGTTCGCATGCGGCTCCCCCAGCCAGGGCAGCGCTTCGTGGCCCCATAGGGAGCTCCATCGAAGGCCCGCCCCAGTGGTGCAGTTCACATGCGGTTCCCCCACCCAAGGCAGCGCTTCGTGGCCCCATAGGGAGCCCCACCGAAAGCGGCACCCACAACGCGTTACGAACAATTGCTCATGGTTGGGTCCTTCGCCAGGATAAGTTGAAGAGGTGCTGATGATCTTGTTGACGTACATCGAGCTGCAGATGAGCTAGAGAGCTGTTCCGCACATCCCTCGGCAGGAAATCACCAGGAGCGCTAGTAACAAGTATCTAGCTACCCGGATTCGGTATGCTACCAGAGCGGGGATACAGAAGGTCACCATGTACATTCGCCTACGGTATCGAAACGTCTGGATTGGGCCTGCAAACATAGCTGCGACTGGAAAATCATTCGCACTGTAAATATTTGGGGTTTGGGAGGTCGGGGTCCGCGTCGAGTTCGGTCTCCTCCTCCTCCTCCTGCTTCTCTTCCTCCTCCTCCTCCTCCTCACCCCTCCCCCCATCATCATCTTCGCCCCCCTTCTCCCCCTCCACCCTTCCCCCTCCTGCTTGTCATCCTTCTGTTCCTACTCCCCCTCCTTATCCTCCTCCTGCTCCTCCTCCTCCTCCTTGTCCTTCTCAGCCTCCGCCTCCACCTCCTTCTCCTCCTCGCCCCTTCTTCTCCTCCGCGCCCTTCTACATCCAACCGCGCCCTCGCGCGCGCGGAACGCGAGATTGTCGCGCGCGCAAGGAAGCTCCACGAGTTCCCGGCGGCAACCAAGGTTGACGGTTTACCGCCGGCCCCCAGTTGACCCGTGGAGCTCCCCAAAGAGCGACGAGGCAAAGCTACTTAATTCCGGCGCGCTGGCAGCTAGTGGACCCGAAAAATATAGATGGAAGTTATGTCCTCTTGTTGGCTGGTTTAAAATCAGGTTCTCAAAGTTTGACAAGTCGTTAGAGTTCGTGATCCTCTCCTCATCATCGATCTTACTCCCGCTCGTCATAGTAATATCATGTCAATCGGGTGGATACTACTTTAAGAAAGCAT